TACACAACGAGCGAATATCGTACATCTATGTAATCTATGTGTGATAAATATGCATGGTTAGTCATGTAGTCAAATATATATCTATGTATATTGTCACGTGGGCACACCGGGCCAGCTTAACGCGTACATACAGCTGTATACGTGTTGGCATGCCATGTGCAAATTCCTTTGGTCGCAACGTTGTCAATACACGCTGAACACAAAACATCGATAAGTGCAATCTATTTCGTACGTGCGAATTACGAAAACCTGTATTCATATATACCTATACTAATGTACATGTAGGGAACATCAAACTAAAAAATACGCCCTATTTTTGTGTTCTACTTCCAATTATACCAATAATAATTTTAAAGGCTTTACCAAATTAGCTGACACAAAAAACTCATTGTAACATTGATTTATTATGATACTCATTGAAGCTACTATTATTAATTTCATACGGCTGAAACAACTATTATCATGATGTCGAATGCTATTTCGTTATTTACCATTCAGTCGCTCAGCATTTTGCAACTGTGGTTGCCACTAGTGATACTTCTTGTGTAACGCGTCTGTTCTCTTAAGAATTATTATCATTGTCGTTACGCGAGAGTAAACGTAAACATTGCGGCTGGTTACATTCTGCAATCTTTAACAGATACATTTTATAATTCGTTCATTTTCACTAGGTGTCGCATCGCTAACCCCCAAGCGATAAAATTCCATTTCGGTATATATGTATAAGAAAAGGAGACAAGCGTACTTTTTCTGCAATTCGATTTGAGCCTATAGTTCTCATTCTTCTAAAGCAACTTAATGAGCTACTAGCGCTTTTCTTCCATTAACCGAACTTTGTATTAAAGTGGAATATTTTACAAGAACCTTTCAAACTATGTAAACTTGCAAAGTAAAAATTACGATCGTAAATTGTACAATTTTCTTACGGGAATTATTCCTTTACCAAAGATAGGAATAATCAGAATATCTAGATATCTCCTTTTCAATTAATACTATAGGAATATTTACTATAAATTCTATTAGTGTTTACTGGATGTGTAACAACACAGATTGGCCAATCAAACAATGAGCTGCAAACGGACACTATTGATTGCATCTGGATCAACCATATCTTTTGTATTATTCGAATTTCATGCCGATTAATTTGAAATCGATACATTAATTTAATTCTGCTAACGATCACGACGTGGTACATCATCGGTGATTTGATTATGTATAAATGTGTATGTGGGACGTGTGTTTATGATTACACTGATTTCGTTAACCAAGTACTCGAGTTGAAATTCGTCGCTACAGTCCTCGATATTATATCGTTCGAACGTTTTTTCTGTTCAACTCTGTCCCTTTTTTTCTACCTCTTTGTCTCCTTTTTTTTTGGAAAATACAAAATTCTATGCTACGCTTTTAAATTTTTCTCTCGACTACTCATTGGTCCTTTTCTTCGGGTTTATTTTTTCTCCTTCTCTTGTTGTTGTTTTGTTTTGCTCGTATGCATGTGACATTGCACACACACACACACATCGCGTGCGGGCATTGTTGCAACTCTGGCTAAATAGTTGGGGAAGTAAATTGCGTGCTCGAATTTCAAACGCAAAGTATGTATCGCAGAATGTCAAAAATTAATATTTTTTCTCTCTCTTTCCGACGCACATCGATGCTGCCTCTGTGCACGTGTGCATACACGCGAGCGCAACACACAAAAAACCCTTTTAGAGCCTCGTGACGTGTGTATGCCCTGAGAGCGCTGTAAACAAAGGAGCTGCGACTTTTTTTTTTTTTTATAATGAAACAAATTAAAAGACAAAGGAAAAACAGAGCGAGGCTTTTTCGGGTGTGTGTGAAAAAGTCGTGCGCTGCTGGGCGTTATTAATTTCGACAAAAAAAGGCTTTTCCCATTATATATTTCTGAAAATGCGAAATCATTTAAACCTCTCTCGCCCAAGGATGAAACTCCAACAACGAAAACAATAAAAATTAAGGCTACAGCCCATTTTAATCTCTACGCATGGCGCGCGCAGTGTGTGCGTTTAATCAACGAGCCTCATAAATAAGCTGTCGTCCGCGCGCGGAGGTTTTAAGCTCTCCCTCGCGCGCTCCCCGGGAAAACCGATCGAAAATCGAGAGCCACGCAGTCTGCTGTGTGTTGTGCAGGCACATTAATAAATTTCGAGAGCTTTTCGCGAATGTACATGAACGCACACACACATGCACACACACGACACATTGGTCCGTAGAGAGAGAGAGAGAGAGAGAGAGAGAGAGAGAGAGTGCCGAAATCTCAGCCAATGTCACAGCACAACTACTACCCCCCGCCGTTCGCGCGCGCTTCGTTCCTCTCGCTCGTGTTCTCTCTCTTTCGCCTAGTGTCCCCGATCCCTTGACCCACAAAGTCAGCGAGCGCGAAAAAAGGAGCTCGAGCCCAAGCAGCAGCAGCGACGGCAGCGTCAGCGACTCTCTCTCTCTCTCTCTTGCTCTCTCTTCGACTGCCTGCCGAATAATATGTGTGAAGTGAAAGTGAAACTCGTCGACGACGACTACGACGACGAGTGCTACTGCTGCTGCTGGTGTAGAGCAGCGATGCAACAACAATGCCAGACTCAAAAAGTCAAAAGAGTCGTGAAAAGTTAAGGTCGCGTCTTGTCTTTCTCCCGCCCCTTCTCTCCTCGCTTTTTTTGATTAAGAGATTGCAAGCGAGCAAACAAGCAAGCAGGGCACATACATTATCCTTTTCAATTATTGATATTCATAATTTCGCGTACCATGCAGCGGCCGTAGCATGCAGTGGCAGAGATTCAATTAGCGAGGAATTTTAATGAATTTTTCAAATCTCTGCCGAGACATAATTTCTCGCTCTCCAGCTCGCATGACGACGACGACGACTGGGGGAGAGAAAAAAAAAGAAAATACAACAAAAAAAAGGGAAACCAAGGAAAGAGAAAAACGAGGATCGTTTTGTCGAGAGACTCTGCGGGCTCGCGCGAGAGCAAACTACACTGCATACACCGGTGGTGGCTTCAAAAAGAAATGATATAATAAAACTCGAAGAAACTGTCATTTCCATCCGTACAGTATAGAGAGTAATCAGCAGAGTCTGCCTGCTGCTGCGTCGCGAGCCATATAATACACACGCAAACAAAAAACGCAGCAGCGAAGAAACGAGAGCGCAACGAGATAAATATGCTGTCATCTCGCAGGCCCTTATCTTTCTCCCTTTCTTTCTGTCTCTCTCTTTCGGCTATATGTATAACCCCAGGAGACTCGGCGCACGTGATTGCTCGAGGAAGCTTCAGTAGGACGTAGACGATGACGACGTCAGCCCCCTTTGGCGTTCGCATTACACGGCATTAGATAATACTTATTTTATTTTTTGCTCGCACCGATCCTCTCGAGGTCGCTTTCTCTCTCTCGATGAATAAGGGCATTATTATCGATGCGCCGCGCCGTGAAACTAGCGGCCGCTGGATTACAACTCGGCGCAGCTTTCATGTATACATACACAACGGCGCCGCGCGGCCACAAATGCCCCTGCGAGTGCGGGGTCAGAGATAGATCGCGTCTGCTCGGTGTATCAAACGCTCGTTTTTTTTTCAAACTATAAAGGAAGCGAGAGAAAAAAAGAGGAAAGAAAAAAGTTTGCCGACGTTCTATACAGGGTAAAATAGAGAGAGAGAGAAAGAGTAAGAAGGATGAAAACCGATTCACACGAAAAAGCCGTTTAGAGAACAGAGCCGAGCTATCTATCCACTAGCTGAAAAGTTTGCCCGAGAAGTGCACTGTGCACAGAAGGGAGGGGGACGAGGACGTATAGGACGACAGCAGCAAAAGCGTTATCCACTTTCGGGCTGCAACACACACACACACACACACACACACACACACACACACACACACATAGATAGATAGATAGATAGGCGAGTGAGAGGACCGATGACGCGCTCGCTTTGACACTCTCGACTCGACCAAAACTCTTCACTCTTCGGACGTCGTTTCGATACTGTTGTTGTGATCTCTACCTCGCGCCCTCGATTAAGTGATTTTGAATCTCTTAACCGTATTCGAAGTTTAACCTTTTATTTATCTATTTTTTTTCTTTTTTTTTTTTTGCTTCCTTGTCACCGCCGCCGCCGTCGCTGTTTCAAGTTGTGCGAGTGACTCTCTACTTGGGCTACTCTCGATACCTCGAATAATCGAACGGGTGTGGGACGACGATCCTTTACTTTCAGAGTTTATTTGATTTTATCGCGCGAGAGCTTAGAAAATACGAAAATTCCATTCGCGACGGAAGAGCGAGAGGATATCATTTTTACGACTTGCCGGAGATACATATTTTACGCTTGTTTCTTTTTATTTATTTATTTTCTTTACGAACCAATGGAACTGCGCCCGTTTCGGAATCGTCTCTATATAACCTTTTCTTGAACACAGAGTAATAAAATATATAAACCATTTTCCATTCTCGTGCGGCGATGCGAACGTCGAGCCGCACGTTTATAAATTAATATAAAAGCGCGTTGCGAGGAATTCTGGGTCGGCGGTCGCGCGTCAGTGTTACGCGGTGCGCCCCTTAAATAAAAGATTCGCGATTCTGCATATTTAATAGCGCGGAGACACGCGTATTATGTACACGCAGGAGAGAGCTCGTCAAATATATATATATATAATATATTCCGTAAATTGTTTGATCGAGAGTTGAATTTTGCACCACGCGCGATCCGCCCGCATAATGCATGCGATGCGTTTGTATATTTCATCGCTGAGCGCGAGAAACCCTTGTCGCAGAAGCTATGTATTTGCATCGTAGGTAGAGTTCTTATACAATTATTTTCATTTCGCCACTTGCAGAATTGCAGATATAAAGGTACTCCCCATCTGGCGGCGCCGATTTATATTTCTNGGGGGGGGTAATGTTAAGGAGCTATCACAACACAATCGCAGGTACATCTCGCTAATATTCAAGTATTGCGTTCAGTCGCTATAGTGAGAAATTAAAGCTCCGAGCAAGTGTTTACAAATAATATCCGCAAAATAGTACAGGTATTTACCTAAAATCGAGGCACAGTGTTATTAGCTACTCCAGACGTATAACCTCAAAAACTTTCACAGTGCGAATTGTGAAAATTCACGGTGGTTATGTGAAATCAAACGAGTCCGCATGGAAAACGGAGAGGATACAGTTAGGTAGTTTTTTTTTATTCGTGTCATGTTATTTTTGAAAGGATTGCTTTATCAAACTCGATTATTCTTCAGGATGAAGCAAGAACCGAATGATGTTTGGCTAGATGCGGGCCACGATTATATTTTCGATCCGCTGGACTCTAATTGCGAGGTTAGCTATTTTAAAACATTCACTTTTTCTGAATGCTCAGTGAGTTCAATGATTTAAATTACAATTTTAATTTTAGACAAATCACACAAATGAAACGGCTGCGTTACACAACAAGTTCGATGCAAAAATAAAAATAGATTTCGAGTGTACGAAGGTTAAACCAGAAGTGACATTTCTCTCGAAGGTTATCTGCAAATCTGAGTATGAAAATAATCAACCAATTATTAAATCAGAAAATGAAGATCGGACACATGATGGGAATAAAAGTATAATCATTGATTTTGAGAGTCAAGATATTAAACCCGAACTAATGTCTTTATTTGATGAAAAAAGTCCAATGATTCTAACAATAACAGAAATGGATTATGATAATGACAGTGCATTTCAAAAAAGAACCCAATTGAATCTCGTCGAATCCGAGGAGGTAAAAGCATTTGAAATGAGTAATTTGTGTCGAAAAACTTACAAAGAAGAAGCGAATCTAGATGCACGTGTAAATAAGAAATACAAGAGCATTGAACCAATCAAATGTGAAATTTGTCACAAATCGTTTAAATACCAATGTTATCTCAAATATCACGTCAACGCAGTACATAATCGGAGCCGACCCTTCGAATGTGACATTCGTAAAAAATCATTTTCTCAAAAGGGTAATCTCGATGTTCATAAAAATGTTGTGCATGATGATAGTAAACATTTCGAGTGTGAGATTTGCCACAAATCATTTGGATACAAAAGTAATCTCAATAAACACATAAATGCAATACATAGTGGTATCAAACCCTTTGAATGTGAGACTTGTCACAAATCATTTTCATACAAAAGTAGCTTCGATTATCATATAAGAATAGTACATGATCGTAGCAAGGCATTTGAATGTGACATTTGCCACAAGTCATTTGGATTAATAAGAGATCTCAAAATTCACATAAAGACAGTACACAATCGTATTAAATCATTTTGTTGTGAAATTTGCCATAAATTATTTGGATACAAACAAGGCCTCAAATATCACATTAATACAGCACATATCCGCGAGTTTCAAACGAGAGATTTGTCACGGATAATTTTCTCTAAAAAATAATCTTAGTAAATTTCATATATTGTAAACCCTTCGATTGTGAGATTTATCACCAGATTCAACTAAAAATCTACAAAATGAAAGTACAAAAGTGTAATAAATCCTTAGGAGCGTAAAACTTGTCCCGAAATTTTTGGACGCAATGGTGACTTTTGCAGCTTTTTGTAATTTTAGAAAATATTTCACATAAATATCTTGTAATTTTCCGAAGAAGAATAAACAATATAAAAATGCTGATAATTTTGGTTATTAAAAGCCTTCTCTTGGACTTTCTAACATCATAAATAAAATATAAACAATATCTCCCAAGTATCTTCTTTCAATCATTATACAAGTGTCTTAAAGCAAGCATTAACCAGTGATAATTTAGCTCATCCGATTCAAAACATATCGTTTGTCTCATGGGCAAAGACATAAATTGTTACATGTATGCATCCTATATCTCTGTGAAATCAAATGACCAAAAAATGTTTCATCCTGCTGACATGAAAGGCTTTTCGAAGTAGTTTGTTAAAATATTTTCTCGAAAATATCGAAGCATTCATACATAATTATTAGAAATAATCACATTTTCAAGAGAAAGCTCTTTGCCAATGCATTGGCAGCGGTTTTTTCTTCTTCTGCAGCTACTATCGCTTATACCTCGGCCCAACGACGTGCCAAGTCCTCTCGGCGAGCTATTTATCAGGCTCGCGCGATCTCTAGGCGCGCGCCCACGAGAGATGCGGGTAATTCCTACTTTGTCTTTTCTTCTTCTTCCTTCCCCCTTTTTTTTTATCTCGTAGGCGTATATTCCTCGAGATAGACAAATGGATGGGATCTTAGCGCGGATCTCGGGCTCTCGAAAACCGAGGATCGTTTACCATCCTGCACCCGCGCGCGCTCACACTCGCATGCCTCTCTTCGCTTCGGCTCGTTTCGGCGCGGGAAAATCTGACGGGACAATTTCGCGTATGCTTTACTTCGGATACATGTATCCTAGCTGGGTATAAGTATGGCTTTGGGAACTGCAACTGCAACAACAACAAGAACAACAACAATAACAATAACAACAAGCTAGAAGTATATGGCTAGAACAAAAGGCAGCAGGAGCTCGGCGCGATAGTTTGCAAAATTCGCCCTATATATGCAACGTACAGAGCTCTATATTACACACACGGTAACCCCGGCGCCGAAGCTAAGACTCTTGGCAGCCACGTCGTCTGCAAATACTTGTCGCTTCGGATTCTCTAAGCCGCAACGAACTGCTAATAGTTTTCTCCTTAACGTTCGCTGCTGCTGCTGCAGCTGCACACAATACAAAGGTGCACATCACGACGTGTATGTATGTGTGTGTGTGTGTGCGTGGATGGGTGGGTATTCCGAGAGAATCAGTATACTCGTTCTCGCGCGTTTGCGGCGTCTGACCGCAGAGGCGAAAATTTCTCAAGGTATTATAATGTAGCTATTTCGTACGTAGCTGCTGCTGCTGCTGCGGAGATCGGGTAATGTGTGTGCGCAGTGTATCGTTTCGGTGTAAGCAACAACAAAAGGTAATGACACAAAGAAAAATCCATCCGTTGCGCGCGGCGTATAGCACACAAGGTACATACATACACAGTACACACGTGTGTGCGGGTGCGAGAACGAAGAAACGAAAACGTTTTTATGTCTCTCACGTCGCACGAGGAGAATAAAATAAGATAAAAACGACTTTCAACTCTCTCTTAACTTGGCTTGAAGTTGGAGTATGTGTGTGTGCGAGCGAGAGGATGTGTATGTGATAGAGGGAGAGAGAGAAAAAAATAAGGATAAAATAGAATAACAAAAAACGAGCCACTGCAAAACAGAAAAACTTCGAAGATACTCTAATGCCGCCTCCTCTTATATACCTTTTGTATATAAAGAGCATTCCATAATGTCATGCGTTTTCTCTTTCTTTATATTCCTCCCTTCTGCCGTACCCCCTTGCCCCTTTTTTCTTTCGGCAAATAAAACTTTCGTATCTTTTTTCGTCGTCGTCGCAATCTCCGCTCGCGGCGGGTGGGCTAGGCAGCAGCAGCAGCGCGCGATATATTTCGTTGACGAGTTTTTCATCCTCTGATACGCGATTGATCTCTTTCTTTATTTATTTATTTTTTTTTTACTTTCCCTCGGCGCCCTTCTTTTCCTCCGCGCCATTGCCGCGCGAACGAAATCGAGGACATTTGGGTAAAGAGATTCTTTTTTATCGCCGCACCCCTATATATTCCTATATATTACGTGCTGTATCCGCGATGAATGGCGCGAAAAATAAAACGAATTAAATTCAAAAGATTTCTATTCAGCGGTGGTTTGACCTTAACATCGATGAAAGAGGGTGGTCTGCGCATAGAAGCAGCAGTAGCAGCAGCAGCAGCAGCTCTCGACGAATACTTTCGTGCGGCCTTTGTATACGCGTCGAAAATTTTAATTCATTCCGGTATTTCGGTGTGTATATGTATCTTATAACGAGCTGTGCCACGCTCTTTATAAAATAATTATTATTTCGGGGTTATAACGGCGAGTGGCGCATATAACAAACTTTGTCCACGCGCGGTGACGACGACGACGACGACGTCGGCGGCGAATCGAATGAATTAATCCAAAAGCAAAGCATCATTTAGCATTGCAAATTTCTACCCCAATCTCCGCGTTCGTGCACTATACACTATATAACGTAGCGTGCTTATATACGGGAGAAATTGCACGGCATTAAGCGCGTATACCCGCAGCTATATGTGTGTATGTATGCATGCATGCGCGTATGCTGCTCCCAGGCATACTCTCTCCATCGGTAATGTACACGCACAGCAGCAGCCACAGTAATAATATACACGAATCAATTTGAAATGTTAAATGTCACATTTCGGTCTGGAAATATTTGAACGAAACGAAAGCCAAGCGACAAAAGAAGCGATTGCCATTTTTACGTCTAAACTTTTCTCTTTCTCCTTACAGTCGATTTGGTTTTTCATCCCGAGCCGTTTTTATTTATTTTTCGTTTATTTTTTTCTGTTTCAATGGCTTCCGCGAGAGCGCAACGCCGCAAGCTTGGCGACGCAAAAAAATAAAATAAAGCTACGAAGGAAAAAAACAAGTATATACCTGATCCCTTAAAACCGCAATCGTATCGAGATTTATATTCTACACATACACGGACACAACACACACGAATACGCATTTTGCTGCCTTTTCATTTCCTCGTAAATTTGCTCTCCTTCTCTTTCGCTCTCAGGTGTGCCGAGCGGCAAAAATCCAACTTATCAGCGGCAATACAAGATTCTTTTGTGCTGGCCGGATTTTGCGGTCGTAATGAAATTAAACTATTCGCCCTTTCGAAAAATTATGTACTACACCGCTGCGCAGTACGTAGACAGTCGATTTCGCAGCTTTGTGGCTCTTTCACTCTATCTCTGACTCGCGAGCGCTCGCATAGTTTCGCTTGCCTGCGCAAAATTACTATCCCGCACATCCCTTTGATGTTGCATTTACCTTGAGCCCCCTCCCGTCAATATAGCTCTATACATTATTATATTTTAGATATTACATGTAATTTAAAGGGCTCGTCTCTCCATCCCCTTCCAGTAATAATAATGCATTTGATAAAATGGAATTTCGCATCGTATCGTATAGTCGTATAGAGCTCGAGCCCTTTACAAGCGGGAATTAATATCAATATAATATTTTACGTCGGGTGATAAATTTAAGCTTATAAATTAAGAGCTTTCGTGGTGGCGTGGGGCGAGGGGCGCGCGGGGGCGGCTCTTTGAATAATATACTTTTTGTTAAAAGCAACGCGAGAGTGTCAGTATTAACGGAAAAATAGCTGAATAAAACAACGCCTGGGTTCACACACACACACATGTACTCGCGCGCACATATTCATATAGAAAAAAAGCCATGAGAGCTGCTGCCGCGCGAGGATGTGCGTTATATACATCATAAAAGCAACGTAAGGAATGTAGGTCACAACAGCACACGCTCGTGTAGGTATACTCGGTACACACATACACCGTGTGTGCGAATAGACTTTACTTCTTTTTTTTGGTCAGAAAGGGACTTTTTAGCATTGCCGCGCGTTGTACACACTGCTCTCCGTCGTTTCGTTTCTTTTTCGCGCGCGAAAATAAGATGAATATCACAGCACTTCACTCTCGCGAGCTTTTGCGAAAGCGCGCCTTCCATCCATATTATATCCGCGAGTTTCGTTTTTTCATATATAATTGCCGCGGCGCAGAAATGAAGGTGCTGCTTGTATGCATACATATTTTTCGCGTTGCATCATTATTATTTTTATTTTTAATTTAATCAAATTGTTTAACGGCGCGTCGCTGGTGCGGTTTTCTCGCTAGCTCGCGAGCGAGCGATGCATCATATATCGCGCGTTTCGCGCGTCGCACAAGAAAATTCCGGCGCGTTCGCGACTCGCATCTACATGCGATCGATCCGCGCGCCTGCAGCACCGCATATGCCACACGAGCGCGCGTTTGACATACCACTTAATAAAAAAACTCTTTTCCGAGCACTCGAACAAAAGAGGCTCGGCTCTCTCGGGCGCGCGAGGGGTGCTCCTCGAAAAAAACAGCAAACTCAGATAATCTCTTTGCAGCAGCAGCAGCATATGACGCAAACGAATGATCGTCGTCGTGGAGAGAGAGAGCGAGGACAATTTTTTTTATATGCATATAGCTGTAGCTTGTAAAGCGAGATGATAAACAAGAGGCGAATTATTCGCCGGCGTCAGCGGTAATAATTTTAAGCGTCTATTCTGTGTGCGAAAATCACGACGCGATAAAAATTTTCAAACGCCGCCGTAATAATTAGGGCCGCTTATTGTTTCGATTATTATCACCCGTCATTGTTGCCGGGTGTAACGATATACACTTGAAAACATCGTTGCGGCGATTCGTATACAGCTAAGTTTTCCCCCACCGTTAGTTTAGTATATAGTGCCACTCTCAGCGCAGCTTTTTAACGCGCTATTATCTATGCTTTAAACGAGGTGTAAGCCGAGACTCGAATCTCGAATTTCACGTGTTACAAACACGTAGCTAGTACAGCATGTATACAGGCCCCAGCCGGGCACGTTGTTTATGCGATGATGATAGCCCTTTGCCTATACCGTATGACGTATAGGACAACACGTTAGTTGTTTGGTCTCGTAATATTGTGAACGAGGCTGCTGCTGCCGCCGCACAAGAGACGAGGGGCGAAAGAGAGAGAGAG